TGTGCTTACTTGTGAAAATCCCCAATGCATCTGTTCTATATGAAAGATGTTCTTTTCCATTATTTTCCTTTCCTTTATTTGAATGTTCCATTCATATTTTAGTTCAAAATTAGATTGTTATTATTCAGTTTCCTTAGAATTTAGTTTTCAACGTATGTCATCTTATTGTTGGTTTGTTATTAGGTGTTAATTTTGTTCTAACTACTTTCTAGATTGAGTGACTGCCGTACTGTTTCTTTTTATATAGATTGATGCTGCTTGAATCGACTGAACTGAGAAAAAAAGACTCTCCAGATTGTTGGTGTTTTTTGCACTGGATAAATAATCTATTTACATTTAGTTTTGGTTTTGGTTTTCGACCATGCTACTTTCTGTCATATAATATTTTAGCTATAAAGCCTGATGTCGATAATAATATAAATGCTGTGTAGCGTGGTGTCGAGTCGAGATTGACTATGAGCGCCAGTACAGGGAAACGCGTACCAAATAAACCAGAAGGCGACGATTGAATGTAACCAGATTTATTCGTTGGCAATCTCGTGGTATCGAAAGGATACCGAGATCGTGCCAAAAGGGTACAAGTGGAATCAGCGGACAAGAGTACAAACGTACGAGGTCACAATCCGCGTAAACGTAATGGATAGTAGTGCAGGAGGAATATGGCTGTCTTTATCACAGTTAAACAAACGAGCACAGTAAAACAATCACTGGTACAATTGGTTATAATGATAATTGTTTCAATTACATCAATCGCGTCCTCTTGATAAATGTAGGTCACTACAGTTTTGTAATCCTTATGATTAGAACCGTTGTGTTTTGAATATATCTCTGAGAAAGAACGTGTGCTTAGTACATGATTCGCAGATATGTAGAATCCGAACATTACCAGTTAGGATGTAACAGCTGCATCATAATATGCATCTAAACCATACATATACTCAAATCTGTTTCAGAAAAAGTGGTCAAATGCTTGACAAGTAAATGGGTGATTTCTGATCCCATGAATTATAACGTATTGTTGACCCTCCAATCTTACGCGAAACATCGATTGGTAATTTAAAAATTTAGACCTTAAAGGTAACACATTAGTTAGAGTCCTCACGGTTTTTTAATCACATTCAGACCTTCTGATTTACGTTTACGACCAAACGTGCAACGAAACACTACGAACAAGTATTTATATCTCACATCCTTCAACAATCTACTTTCTGCGTGAACATAGTGTGTATGGGTCATCTGAGAAAACATAGATTTATCCCATCATACTTTATGGAAATCCTTTAGCGCATTATCTAATTCAATCCAGCTTCCGAATCTCTTATTCAGCATAATACGTTGGAACGCGTCGCTTACGTTCACTGAAATTTCACTTGAGCATGAAGCACTAGAGACAACATACAATAGCTGTTAAAAAAAGGTTATTCCTTGAAAAAAATTAACTGAAGGAAGAACAACAAATATTTAGGACTTACCCTTCAGTTGACATTTCGTCTTAACTCACAAAAACTATGCGCATCTATAACCTTTTACGTTATTTTTTCTTTCTTACGTTGTTTTCTGGACCTTATCAACAAATTATATATAGCTGTTGGCTTTCACTACAGCACTTAGGACCACAGATCAAGTTTCGAAGGAACAACAGAGCTAAAGTATGCACTACAAAACAGAAAATACTCAGTTAATGCTCTTAGCAGTTATTTAGTGTTTATTATGCATCAAAAGATGACTTATATATGGAAACATTTAATACTCATAGGACCCAACACACACACGGCAATTGAAATACGGAATGCCCGCTTCCAGTCAGCGCGTTCAAGGTCGTTGAAACGAAACGGCGGACAGATTTGAAAGGGATTACCGTTTAAACCTTGTCGGGCACGGACTAGCGGGTAAGCCAGGGATTTTCGCGCACACGTTACATATTGTCGTGGATTTTTTGTGTCGTTATTTATCAGCTATTAACAGGCTTTTTTGCATGACACATCAATTTCTGTATTGCTAGTGCTTGTAACATAGTTTTTATTCCAATTTATTGGCAGTTTGACGTATTTCTTGCTCACCACGTAAGTAAATCTGAAGTTAGCTTAATATAGTTATTTGTAACAATACAAACTCAAGCAAGTAAAGTTCACCATGTTTCTAGTCAAAAAATACATCACAGATTGAGTTTTCATGAAAATGAACCGTAAAATCTTTTACATATGGTTCACCTCCTTGATTGCGGTGACGGTGAACATGGATGTCGGTAGTTGTTTATAAAATGTAAGTAGAAGCAATCAAGCGTTAACCTAATTGTGAATATTATATAACTTGTTTGTATTTAGCCATAAAAAGTTATATCCATTAGAGGTACCATTGTTTTGTACTGAAGTGACATAATTATGTAACGTATAAAAAATATGTGAGTAACAATTGACGTTTATAGTGTTGTCCAGCGGCTTTCTGAATGTCTGCAGTAATAGTGTATAACACCACATCAAGTAGGAACAAAATCTTCATGAATAAAACGATCGGTGTTTCTTGTGAGAATGGTGACACAACCATGTTTTTTAGTTAATACTGATTTGTGACGTGTCTGTTATAGGGTTCACAAATGAGTTATTATATACTCTTCACTCCGTTTCGGTAATACAGTTGTTGTGTTACTTAGGAAGTTATGAATGAATGTCACTACTTGTTAATAAAAGACTTATAGGGACAGTCTGTTACTTGCTATTTGAATAACTTATTGAATATGATACTGAGAACAAAGTTTAATTGTTTGTCTCAGAACGGATTTGTTGTTTTTCAGAATAGTATGAAGCTTATGGAATTTAGGATTACGGAAGATCGTATGGAAAACCGGTTTACAAGTTTACGATAACTGTTTTATATTGCCTACTGCTATGCTCATTCATCTAATGAATTATTTAAATATAAATATAACAACCATACGCAGTGTTTTATATTATAAATCCTGTAAGTTTGTATAATTATGGTCTAAATAAAGCCAAAACAAATATTGACGCACAATCATGTGACTGCATTACATTTCGTGGTTTCTTATAAGTTGCATACAACTGAATATGCATTATAATTTAAGATTGAGGGAAGAAATAGTATGAAAGATAATAGAAAGCAAAGAATTGGAATGACCTAGGTTATCAATAATAACTATACATATGTATATGCTTGAACAGGTCAAAGGTCATTTGGTGTTAGACTTAAGGGAACATAAAGGATGGGTGGCGTAATAGTCGAGTGAAGCTCAGAAGCATATAAGATAAATTGTGTGATAATTCTAGATGTAATGAATAAATCATTGAATTAAGAACTAATAAGATAAGTGAAGACAATCTGAAGAGTTAACATAATTTAGCAAAGAAGTGTGAGTGGAAGGGTGGTCTAAGGATTACGTAATCCATCTTATCAAGGAACTAGCTGCATGAAATTGTCTAGTTCCATACTAATACTAACTTGATAATGGACGTAATCTGACAACGGAAAATATGTAAGGCGGTTGCTTAATCTGTAAGGGTTTACGTGGAAATTGCATTACTATTTTATGTGACTCGTAGATTCGTCACAATGAACGACGATATAACGCTAAGTTCTAACGACAGTTCGTAACTAATACAGTAGTACAAATTCTTAATTTTCACACACAATTAATCGTTAAAGCGATGGTAAACCTCCCCATGAAAGTATGAAGAAGACGAAAATAAAAAATGAGAAAAAGTTTATTGATTTTTCATGACTACTAAAGTGGAAAGATAAGTTTACAAGTTGTATAAATAGTGGTATAAAATAAAGCCACAAAGAACTGTTAATCGTAAACCTGCTGTCTAGCTGTTTATAATTCTTAAGTAAAAATTGTAGACCCTTCTCTCCACCTGATTCGCGAAGCGTTCACCATATTTCTCAACAATTCGTTGTTTGCACATTCTTTGGAGCCGTTGAAGTTGTATGTATTCTTTACTTCGTCTCCGTAATGAAATTACTGTGTTGTTTTGTAAATTGTGCGTATTGTCTAATTTCCATCTACAGCAACACCTAAGAAGTTGATGAGCTATGCAGTTTATATTTTATAATTTAAATAGCTTACCTGTTAGACTTCGTCTTTTAATATATGCCAGCAGGAGATGGCAGCACGGATATCGACACATATTAAAAGTGCTACAATTGCATTCACAAATACTTACATCTACTTCGTAATGTTGTCCGCGCTCAAGCATAAACAACCACTCGCCGCTTTCATATTCTAAGTTAACGAAACGCATTTTTTTAAGTTCGTATAACACTTTGGATCTTGCGAATGGGGTCAACAAGTTCAGCAAGGGTATAAAACGCTGTGGAGCATCATAATTGTATGTTCGTCCACTGATTATTTGGTCTTCGATGCTTTTTCTAGAGAATGTCATTGAACTCCACTTAAAAGCCTTGTACATGCACTTGTGCAAGCTGTCGCTTTTGCGTACATATCTTTTAATCTGCCTATTTAATGACTCAACACGATTATTCGTGTTGTTACCCAAAGTTAATACACTGCCGTAAAAGGCACGCGCCCACATTGTTTTACGAGGCATCCAGAAACGTGACAGGTACTGGCCTATCACTCTGTCTCTGCGGTTTATTATTCTGTAATATTGATTAAATCTAGTGAATAAATACATTAAAAAATTACCTTCCGACCGTTTCTGCGGTTACCAGTCGAGTCAAGTAGGTTTTTAGTATTTTATCATTTGTCTAAAAGAAATTTTATGTAACCAACCATTGGTGTACCTTTTTGCGGAAAGCGCGAATCACATGAAAGGCGCACTAAATAATGTTTGCATGCCCGTGTGTTATACGGACAGCCGCGCTTTCAGATCGTGCGCAATCCATCACAAATGTTTCTGTTTTGGTCGTGTTACCCATTATCTCCTTGAATTTATCCAAAATCCACGTAAGATCAGCACGCTTTTCTTTTTTTGTCCATGCAAACATAACAGTTCGACCTCGACCCCAATTGTCTGTTACCACTAACTGGAATAATGAATGCCTACATAGTAGAACAAAACGAAAATCATATTCACTTTTTATTATTAGTTTTATAAGTAGAATCAATACACACGACTTCGGGATATTGATTGTACAGCCGTATCTGATCATAACTGCTGAAGCATACCGCCGTAATAGATCCATTTTCTGCATGCTCTCTAACTTCACCGTTTTGTCGCATCATCTGCAATACCTGCTTCCGAGTCCAACCTGAAATATATTTATATACACTTACCAGTGGAGAGTTCAGCTTTCATATTTTTGACATCAGCAGCGGTCACCTGCTTACCTGTTCTTTCCTTAATACTTTCGATAACTTCGTCCGTCGACTGACAGTGCAATATAACTGGTTTCAAGTTTTCTTTTTCTTCTGATGACAATCGTCTACTCAACGGATCACAAACCATCCATGAACTAGTACACGGATGGTTGTGAGTCATGTTGTAAGATTTTATAACGTATTGTTGACCCTCCAATCTTACGCGAAACATCGATTGGTAATTTAAAAATTTAGACCTTAAAGGTAACACATTAGTTAGAGTCCTCACGGTTTTTTAATCACATTCAGACCTTCTGATTTACGTTTACGACCAAACGTGCAACGAAACACTACGAACAAGTATTTATATCTCACATCCTTCAACAATCTACTTTCTGCGTGAACATAGTGTGTATGGGTCATCTGAGAAAACATAGATTTATCCCATCATACTTTATGGAAATCCTTTAGCGCATTATCTAATTCAATCCAGCTTCCGAATCTCTTATTCAGCATAATACGTTGGAACGCGTCGCTTACGTTCACTGAAATTTCACTTGAGCATGAAGCACTAGAGACAACATACAATAGCTGTTAAAAAAAGGTTATTCCTTGAAAAAAATTAACTGAAGGAAGAACAACAAATATTTAGGACTTACCCTTCAGTTGACATTTCGTCTTAACTCACAAAAACTATGCGCATCTATAACCTTTTACGTTATTTTTTCTTTCTTACGTTGTTTTCTGGACCTTATCAACAAATTATATATAGCTGTTGGCTTTCACTACAGCACTTAGGACCACAGATCAAGTTTCGAAGGAACAACAGAGCTAAAGTATGCACTACAAAACAGAAAATACTCAGTTAATGCTCTTAGCAGTTATTTAGTGTTTATTATGCATCAAAAGATGACTTATATATGGAAACATTTAATACTCATAGGACCCAACACACACACGGCAATTGAAATACGGAATGCCCGCTTCCAGTCAGCGCGTTCAAGGTCGTTGAAACGAAACGGCGGACAGATTTGAAAGGGATTACCGTTTAAACCTTGTCATACATTCGTTTGTGCTTATCTAGTACTTCTTGATTGGATTACATTATTTCTGAGATTCTTAGTTTATACTATAATTCAAATACTTCTAATTATCAAAGTCCTCATTTTCTTTATAACCCTCATTGATTCATAGTCATTGAGTGGATATTCTCATCGTCACTTTAGCATCATTCAACGATCATCCATAAATTATGATCTCACCTATAAATTTATGATTCGTTTTTTGTTTTTTTAAATTTTAACTTATATAAACAAACATGATCAAAATACAAATTATAATAATAATAATAATAAAGAAGAACAAGAAAAAGAAGCATGGATACTTCTAAATAAAAACCATTACAAGTTAAGAAGTATTAAATACTTTAAAAGTAAAAAATAATGTTCAATGTTACAACTTAATAAGAAAATAAAAACCATGGTACCATGTATATATATATATATATATATATATATATATATATATATATATATATATATATATATGAAAGAGTGTGTGTGTGTGTGTGAGAGAGAGAGAGGTAGACAGTTGAAAATATTGCGTTACATTAAACATTGAATAAAATAAATATTCATTGAACATTTCACTTGATCATTTATCAAGACTATCCAAATGTATCCATCTGAATGTTTGTTTGTTTGTTTGTTTTTGAATATGACTTTATAAATAAAAAGTGAAGAGGTAGAAGAATGAATTCAATTATTACTTAGTAAGTATTTAAACAACTAATAAATTGATTTACATAGATATTGAACAATTGAATATGATATGATTTGTACATGATGATAAAAATGTAATGAAAATTATAGGTTTATTGATTCAAAGAAGTATTGTGTAATCATGTAATTCCATCTGGAACCCCTCTGCGGGGGGGGCTACTGCCGATCCTAAGCCCGAATAAAGGAGAAGAGTTGGGCATGGAGTTAACGACGCTATCTCTTAGAAAACTAACTCTCTAAAACAAGAAAAAAAACGCTAACCAGAAAAGAACATTTATGTAATATTGTATAAATGTAAATGTTTCTATTTCATTGATTTGTATTATCTTTAGTTATTACTTTTTTGGTTAGCGTTTATTTTTAAGCGAATGGATAGTAGGATACATATTGAGGAAAGTACTCAACTGTGTTACAAGACAAATCCTCACATAGAATCTTCAAGACCAATGGGGGTGAAGAAGAAGAAGAAGAAGACCAAAGAACACATTACACCAGGAAATGGAAGTAAACATGAATAAAATGAACAAGAATTGGATGGAACTAGAAAAAAAAACAGAGACTCATGACAGAGTAGGTTGAAGAATGCTGATCAATGGCCTATACTCCATTAGGAGTAACAGACGTAAGTAACTAATCATATCAAGAGTTGTGGTAATATTAATTGACTTAAACCACGTTTAACTCTATGATGATGATGATGATGATGATGATGATGATTACAAAATAGAGCATGCATTTGTTGTTCTGAATTATAATTTCTAAGTGTTGTTATAGATAAACCTAATAAATTAGCTAATAAATTTGTATTGACTTGATATAATGCTAAAATATCAATTAATTTAATACGTTGTGGATTAGATAAATAACCACAAGTTGGATTACATTGTGGTATTAAATAATCCATTGATGGAATATATTTAATTGTATCATTATGTAATGGTTTCATATATGTACTATTATAATGAGTACTCATATTTTTACATAAATAGGTACCATGGTTACCATGAATTGAAAATAAACCACATGAATCAATTATATGATACAGAAATGAATTTGAATAATGACCAAATATTGAATTAATATGTTTATATGGTTTATGATATTGTTTTATTAATTGTGTAACATTTTTTTGATTTAAACGAGTCATTGTAAATGCATATGGATATGATTTTAATAAAATATAATCATTATAATGTATTAAATGACGTTTATATCTTTTAGGATATTGATTTAATAAATGAACAAGACGAGATAAGAATATAAGTGTTGAATTTGTTGCCATAGTGGTTGTGGTGGTGGTGGTCGTCGTCGTCGTGGTCGTCGTCTTAATCCCTGTAGTAACACTTTCTTTATGTTTAGAATCTTGACGATTATTTGTATTGGATTGTTGAGCTTTAAGTAAAATATTTGGATAATGAATTGAGAAATATAATAATTTTTGTTTTACCCAATGTCTAGAATAAAGTAGAAAGAAGTAGAATAGTAAGTGTTTTACTTAATAAAACAAATATCATTATTTAAGTAATATTGATGATTATTGGGGTGGGGGAAAATCAGGTTAGAAATATGATTTTATTGGTTGAGATTATGAGATAATTGAAGATAGACCATCATAGAAAACGTAGAAGCATTGGACGGTCGTTTCGTCCTATTGTCGGACTCTTCAGCGGTGTGCATCCATAAACCTATCCAGTGCTTCCAGATTTTCCATGATGGTCTAGTTTCAATTGACTCATGATCTAAATCATTGAAATTATTATCATATCCACAAAAACCATTCTGCTGATTAGAAATATGAATCATATAATTCAAAACCCAGTAAATTAAAAAAAGTGATTACTATAAAATTTAATGATGATATTGAAGTAGTTATAAGTATAGATGTATGGAGGCTAGTAGTTGGATCTAGGATGCCTCTTTTTTATTCTGTTTTGAGACTCGTCAACTGAATGTACTTCCATCTCAAATTTGATGATCACTCCGGGACTAGAGCTTAGTACTTTTCGTTTTAAACACAATCATGTTAACCACTTAGTTATCGAGTCCAAATAGACAATGATTTGTATAATGGAGTTAATTTTATTTCATATAAGACGTTCAAAATAACCAATATACATGAATATTAAAGTCAGTAATCGAATAGGTTTCAATTCAGTTGCCAGACTAAGTACTTTGACATTAATTATACTATATCTGAATGTTAGGTAGCTGAGAAAAACTGATAAGTAGCCCTGAGCTTAGGTTTCATGCTAAATGGCACTCATCATTAAGGCTTGTATATAACTGATTCTAAATCACTCGACTAACATACTTACTTACACCTATTACACCTCATGGAGGAGCATAGGTTGCCCACCAGCACTTTCCATTCAATCCTTTCCAGCTCTTTCCAATTTTTAATCATCCTGACGTAGTGTGTTCTTTGGCCTTCCTCTTTTCTGCTTCCCTCAAAGTTCGGGCTTGCCTCGTGATGCGAAAGAAACTATTTATAAATACTTGCACCTTCTTGATGATGGTTGTAGTAGTTTTCCACGTTTCAGCTCCATACAGTAGAACTGTCTTGACGTTCGTTTTGAAGATTGTGACTTTGATATTAGTTGAAAGTTGTTTTGAGTTCTATATGTTCTTCAGCTGTAGAAATGCGGCCCTTGCTTTGACAACCCTCGCCTTTACGTCTGCATCCGATCATCCTTGATCATCGATGATGCTTCCTTGGTACGTGAAAGATTCAACATTTTCCAGAGTTTCCCCAGTAAGTGTGATTGGACTGGTGTTCTCCGTGCTGTATTTGAGGACCTTGCTTTTTTCTTTGTGTATGTTTAGGCCTACTAATGCAGAGACTGCTGCTACACTAGTTGTCTTCATCCGCAGTTTGTTCGTGTATATGGGAGAGGGGGGGGTAGGTCATATGCGAAGTCTGAATCGTCTAATTGGTTTTGAGCTGTCCATTGTATTCTGTGCTTCCCCATGGACGTCAAGGTCTTCATAATTCAGTCAACCACCAGAAGAAAGATGAAGGAGGAGAGTGGACAGCCATGTCTGACTCCGGTCCTTACTTGGAATGCATCTGTCAGCTGTCCTCCATGCACGACTTTGCACATTAGTCCATCGTATGAGTTCTAGATAATATTGACAATCTTCTCACGAACTTCATAGTATCGGAAAAATTTCCATAATATTCTTTTATCTACACTGTCAAATGCCTTCTTATAGTCATTGAAATTGATGTATAGTGACGAATTCCACTCAACTGATTGTTCAACGATGATCCATAGTGTTGCAATTTGATTTGTACACGATCGCAAATCACTCAACCCATTGTAAAAATCATTAGAACAATACATTAAAGTATCAGATAACTTTCATCACAATAAATATTCAGGGATTTCATAATCGAAAGTCACTTAATAAATGGTATGGTATATTAACGAATACAGAATATCAGATGGGTTCGAGTCTCGCAAGGGGTGAGATCGTGGATGCGCACTGCTGAGGAGTCTCACAATAGCACGAAACGGCTGTCCAGTGCTTCCAGCTTTTCCATGGTGGTCTAGCTTCAACTGACTCATGATCTTAACCATTAGAATATTGAATAATAGATCTAATCTCTAAATCTTTTTATCCATTTCAAATGATACACAATTAGAATAATGATAAAACTAATATAAATCAAAACTTACTTTTCTAATTCATTATCCCATGATTTGATTGCATTCACTAAACTGATTGTTCCAATCATTTTATGCACCCAATTACTGAATTTTTATTATTATTTTAAAATTAAAAGAAAGAGATAAGAAGAGATGAATAAAGGTTATTGATATTATTGGGGATTTTACTGTTACCATTATTATTATTATTATCATCATCAAAGAGGGCTTTGTGGAGATTTTAGTCATTTATGGGTTGAATTCATGAGTCAATTAAAGCTAAACCATCATAATAGAGAGCCTGGAAGCGCTGAACGGGAGTTTCGTCTTAGCATTGAACTCCTCAGCACTACGCGTTCATGATCTCTTCCGCGGGATCCGAACCCAAGACTTTCGGTCTTGAGCACAAACGCTTAACTTTTAGACTCCTAAACCTGCATGTAACGATGCTAATGTCTAAAATTTCAACCGATTCATGAAATTACACCACGAAATCCTCTTCTGATAATAATCATTATGAGCTCACTAGTGACTGGTTTCAAGAAGTATTTCCTGGAGTTCAAGTAAGAAGCAGTGACCAGTGAAGTACAACAGGGTCTGTTGTGAGACTATGGACGGTGGAGCAATCTATACTACCTTCAGAAACCAAAGACATTTCACATGTTTACGTAATATGATCACTGAATATTAATCAATATCACACTGTTCATTTCTTACAATCGATCAAATTCTATTGATAAATTTTCAATATTGTGATTATATTAAATCACTTGGTATCGTAATATGTTTTGTTAGATGTTATAAAGATTAGAAGTCGCTACGAAGAAGTTCTATATTAAGTCTACTCCTATCAGTAAGTAATAAATCTTATAGTGACAAAACTTTTGATGGAGCTTTATTCTCTGAACTGAATGATTTGGTCGTAAAACTTTCATTGTTATTCTGAACGACATTATCATCACAAACTTCGGATAAAAGTGAAGTGACATAACTAATACTCATCATAAAATGATGCCTAAAGAACAAATGTGTATCACAACGATGGATTTTTTATTTTCGTTCGTTCAGATTACTTTGACTGTATGCTTGTGTTTACATCGAAATTAACCAGCACATTGTAAGTTATGGAATCCCTTTTGTCGACTTTTATTGGAAAACTGACTTTAGATTTGTTTTTTGTTTTACTGATTACATATTCCAATGTTGTAAATTATTGTTAGATTTTGGGGCTGTAAACTTTCGTGTTCCACTACTAGTTAAATGAAAGGGCTTTTTTGACATAGATAATGGAATGATAATAGCCGAAATTATTTCTCTTTGATTATTCTTATAACCTAGGGATTGGTAACTAAGTGGTCGAACCACTGTCATTTTCTACAAATGTTCGTATACATATGCTATGTCATGTAATTCTGTTTAATCAACCCGAGAGTGCATTTCATTATCTTGAAAAAATCGTCAACCACATAGTTTTACCTGTATCTTCCCATTGTTATTTAAGGCTGCAATTGATCAGTCTCATGTTAGCATATGTGCATCCTGTGCGGATTGCTTCAATAGAGCCTTAAGTCACCAGCTTTTTAAGCAAAGATGGATAATGGCTAGCAGTGGAATCGAGGACGCATGTTTCGTTCTACTTGAGACTCGCCAGTTGGATGTACCTGCATCTCAGAGTTGATGTTTAATTTGGGACTTGAACCTAGTACCATTCGCTTCAAACACAATCACGTTATCCACTTAGCTACTGAGTGCTGATAGCCATCTACTTGTGTAATTAGGTGAAGTCAAAATTCACTTGGTGTTATTTCACTTGTATTTTCTCATTTTTATTTAGGGATGCAGGTACATCCAGCTGATGAGTCCCAAAGGATTTCACTGCTAGCCACTATCCACTTTTGCTTAGATAGTTCTTCTGTTTCTATTAAGTAATAAGAATCCACATATTTAATGGATTCCATTCAATATTGTACGATGGAAAATATGTGTAACAATCATTTGAAAACAAACCCAGGATATATTCTCTTTTATTATGTTTGTAAAAAAGCATTAAGTAAATTAGAAAGTAGTAACCATTCGCTCAATAGTTTGAGAATTTTCATACGGTTGAAACTTGTTTCTTGACTTTAAGGATCCGGTTAAATGTCAAGTTTTATCCCTCTTGAACTGTAATCTATTGGATTTGATACCAGCTGTCAATGTGAGTCTTTTACTTGGATAGGACATATTATGAGGAAAGAACCTAATTGGACCACAAGGCAAGCCCTTACTCGAACTCTTTAAGTCCAAAGAGGAAGAGGAAAACGAAAGAATACATTAGGCTAAGAAATGGAGACACACATGAGAAGAATGAACAACAATTGGATAGAACTAGAAAGGAAGACCCATGACAAGGTTGGAGAACGTTAGTCGGCGGCCTGAGCTTCATAGGGAGTAACAGGCGTAAGTAAGTATTTAACTTTTAAGATCAGTTCTTTATAGAAAACATTTAGTTCCATGTACTTGTCATACTCCCCTTATCCTTCCTTTCTTAAAATTAAATAACCTTTTTACAAATTTCTTCATAACTCTTGACTTTGATTATCTTACATAGAGAGACTATAATTTATGGACGAACTAATCAGATTTACGATAACAGGTCTTGGATTTTGGCGCGAAATTCATTCATCCATTCATGGCTTTATAGCTGATGTCAGTTCGTGATGAAAACCTCAAATGTAATTCCTAACCCTAACTATCATCTGTAAATATTAATCCTAATTTTTTACACTGATTTATAATCCTGGTTGTTAAGTGAACACTCTCAAAGTCAGTCTAGTGTCGCTCTAAGGTCGTCTATAAATTATAGTCTCATCATGAACTTTAATGACCTGTATTATTCAACATATTGAGTGACATTTAAAGGACTTACTTTTTGGTTAAAATCTCATGATCTAAACATGATGGAGCAAATACACCTCTATATAATAAAAAACAAAAGGGTTTTTTTAAATGAATGACCTTCAATGTGAAGGTAAAACAATGAAATATCAATTCGATATTGAATAGTTATTCATGAAACTGAACATCTATTTGATCCTTTCAATAATAAATATATTATCAGTATAGGAGTTGTGAAGATTATTAAGTTTTTGATTGAGATCGTGAACCGATTGGTATTAGACGGATGCTTAACCAATAAATTAAGCATTCGCACTCGAGGCTGAAAGCCCTGGGTTCGAATCCGGCGAGCGGGATTGTGGATGCGCATTGTTGATCAGTTGCACAATAAGACGAAACAGCGGTCCAGTTCTTCCAGGTTTCCAACGGTGGACTAACATCAATCGGTTCATGATCTCAATCAAAAAAATAATAAATTTATACTAGAAGGGAAAATGTTTCCACATATTTCAGGTAAAATCAAATACTGATCAGTTATTGATTCTAGAAAACTTATGATATACTCCATTGTGTATTTGATAATCTTGAGTTTAAATTGAAGATTGATGAGATTTTTTCTACAAATTTCACACACAACTTTTACTTACATTTAATTGTGATGTTTCCTTTTTCTGAAATATGTTTTCGTCTTTTTTCGCCTTGAAATTACATAAAAGCTAAGAGATCAAATTTCAGTAAGTTCCCAAATGCTCTGGTATGTCTGAGGAAAGTTAGCTCTCCCTCTTGAAATGCTCTCATATGGCCACGTAAATGCAACCGCTGAAAGGGAAGTTCTACTCACTGCCTTCTCGTGGCATTACTGTTGTTTACGAAATTGAGAGGACAAAATCGAATGTCAGGTACTGTAACCGGGTTGGTGAATATGGAGGATCCACCTAGAGTAGTTGGAAAACCCTCATTTTAAATTAATGGTGCACATGGGCTCCAGTATCCTGAGGGAAAAAATGGTGTATAAACTTGTTGTTAGTCACCGGTTACCATGGGACTGCATCTACTGAGGTTGCTCCACTGTCTTGTGGATTAGACCTTTAAGTCGAAGTCTCCGGGTATGGTTCACTAAGAAAACCACCTGTTTTGGTTTGGGCACCCGGGCAGTATCCCGACCCTCACACAAATTGAATGATTTATGTGGCATATATATATTTAGTGCCTCCTTGTACCATTGTTTATGTGTTTAAATAAATAAAAATAGAAATTGCTAAACAGGATATACATATATAATCATAATTAACTAACCCAGCTGCCTGAAGACTACGTGCTACTTCTTTGCCTAAATTTTGTATATATGCCCATTTTGAATATGTTCCACCGGTAAGTAATGGAACTTTAGACATTTGCATTTGTGCTTCATCGAACAAACTTTGAACAATATAAACTGGAGCTTAAAACAAATAAAAAAATCAATTTTAAAAAAATGAAAGTATTGATGTTTTATGAAAAATTGGTTCTACAAGTTAACTGGATCTCAATCAAAAACTTAATGATCTACACAACCTCTATACTAGTAATCAACATGTGTTCACTAGTGACTAGATTTGTGAGGGAATTCGCGGAGTTCTAGTGAGAAGCCGTGACCAGTGGAGCTAATCCATGTCGGGTAGAGACAGTTATCTACCTCAGTACAATGGAAGATGGTCGCTCAATTTCATAGATTGGTTGATGTTAGACACTAACACCACTGGATGCTGGCTCAATGGTCCAGTAGGTTAAGCGTTCGCGTGCGAGACCGAAGATCCTGGGTTCGAATCCCGCGAGCGAGTTCGTGGATGCGCAATGCTGAGGAGTCCCACAATAGAACGGAATGGCCGTCCAGTGCTTCAAGGTTTTCAATGGTGGTTTAACATCATCAATCGGTTCATGATCTCAATCAAAAACTAAATAGTCTCCACGACCCCCATACTGGGTTCGAATCTCGCGAGGTGCGGGATAGTGGATGCCCACTTCTGAGGAGTCCCATACTGGGACGAAACGGCCGTCCAGTGCTTTCAGGTTTTTTACATGGTGGTCTAGCTTCAATTGACTCATGATCTGAAAACAATAATCCTTTTAAGAATTTGATGAGATAGTAATGACTTTCAATTCAGTTGATATTGTTTACTTGAATCTTCCTATTGATATTTAGGACTGCAATTGATGCAGATGTGCATAATGTGCGTATTACTTCGATATTGCCCTAATTTTATAAGCATTATATTCAAAAATGGATAGTGGTTAGCAGTGAAATCCAGGATGTAGGTACATCCAGCTGATGAGTCCCAAATTGGACGAAATTTTTAAAGCCTGTCCAAGATTCCACTGCTAGTCACTATCCATCTTTATATATAATACTTCATAATAACTTCTATTTTAAAATAAACATGAAAAGGTTACATATACTTGATAAATCATAAATAATGTAACTAGAAATATGTTACCATGTTGAATAAATGTATGAATTGAGCCATTAAGATTATTAGCTATAAATGACTGTCAAACTCTTGTATTAATGATTATACTAAACATGTACTTGTCTTTTATCTTTCAATAGCTTATTTACATACCTCAGTAAGATAGTTGAAATAACTAGTTTCTAAGGTTCTTTTAGTGTGTTTCAAACTATGAACACAGGATGGAAACAATTAGTTCTTCCCACACATGGTAAGTATACTTAAAATGGATATGATTCATATATCTCAAAGGTTAGAATTGAATTTTATATGATCTTAACATATTTATTGAATCCTATGTATAATATTACTTAAGAGAATGTAATTATGCTTCATAAATAATTAAAATCCTGAAGTCCCAGAATGAACAACAACTCTGAAATACAGGTACATTTCCAGCTGATGAGTCCGAAATTGGACGAAACCCACATCTTGGATTCCTTTATTAATCACTATTTCATCATTTCTAATTCAAATCCTTTTAATAATAGATTAATATTTCAATAAATCAATAAATGTACTTTTTAAATGTGGATACATAAACGGTGCCAAATAACATTTCCATTTTTCTTCTTTTGGATGAGCTTTACGACATGGTTTCGGTATTCTGGGATTCCAAAATCTTCCATTTAAAAAAATAAACAAATACAACATAAATATTCATGTACACTTGTGTTAAATGTAAAATCTTACAAAAACAATCCAAATAGATGATGTTATGAAAGAACAGGGTTTTTCATACAGTGATTAATACTTTTCTTAGCTAAATGTATTATAAGTATGAGATTGCGGAGATTATTAAGTTTTTGATTGCTCACTACTGACTAACTTCGTGAGGGAATTCTTAGAGTTCTAGTAAGAAGCCGTGACCAGTAGAACTGATTCATGTCAGGTAGAGACAGGTATCTACCTCAGTACAATGGAAGATGTTTGACTAATTTCATAAATTGTTTGAAGTTAGGTATTAACAGCGTTTTATGCTGGCCAGCTCAGTGGTTTAGAAGTTACATGTTCGTGTACAAGACCGAAGGTCCTGGGTTTGAGTCCTGCGTTCATGATCGTGGATGTGCACTGCTGAAGAGTCCCACAATAGGACGAAACAGCCGTCCAATGCTTTCAGGTTTTCAGTGATGGTCCAACATCAATAGATTCAAGATCTCAGTCAATTATTTATTCAGTTTTAACTAAATATGAGATTAAAAATGTACTTTGGTAAAGTGATAACTTATAAATCATCCATTTCTTATGACTGTATTGTTCTATTCTAAAAAATCACCAAATTAATAACTTCACCGTTGTCACGTCACTCACTATGACAATGTTCTGTTCAGTAAATAAAATAATTGGGTTCATTAGAATCTAAATCGATTAAATTAAAGATATATCAATTTGATTCGCCCACGATGTGGGTGTGGGTTCGAATCCCACCTCCGACACGTACTTTGCCCACAAATGCTCTGGTACGTCTGAGAATAAAGAGACTTAGCTCTTCCTCTCGAAATCCTCTCATATGGTCACGTACATGCAACCACTACAAGGAAAGTCCTGCTCACTGACTTCTCGCGGCATTACTGTTGTTTACGAAATTGAGAGGACGAAAATCGAACGTCAGGCACTATAACCGGGTAGGTGAATATGGAGGATCCACCTGGGGCAGTTGGAAACCCTCATGCACATAGGCTCCAGTATCCTGAGGGAACAAATGGCGTATAAACTTGTTGTTAGTCACCGGTTACCATGGGACTGCATCTACTGAGGTTGCTCCACTGTCTTGTGGATTAGACCTTTATGTCAAAGGCTCGTGGTGTAGAGTTCTAAGAAAACAACCTGCTTCGGTTTGGGCACCCGAGCAGTATCCCGACCCTCACATACATCGAATGATTTATGTGGCGCATATCTATTTGGTGCATCATTGTACCAATGTTTACATGTTTAAATAAATAATAATCATTACTTACTTCATTCCTCGATGAATACCTTCTTCTGGTGGACATTCAAATGCGTTAACACATTTACTTTCTTGATAAGCAGGAATGTGAATAAACCATGATGAATCTATTATTCCACTAACTAATACAGGATATCCAATACGATTAAATAATTTTCTACTTAATCTATCAATATTCATAAGTACACCAATTCCTCCAGCACTGGAAAAAATAAAGTATAAATTTTTTTGAGACGGATCAAATGTAAAACAGATCTGATCCTATATGACATTTACCTGTTAATAGGTATGAAAAATGTGATATTTGTATTGTGGAAGAGTATAGTGGAAGATATTTAGATGTTTATTAGTGGTATGAGATACGAACGGGATTCGATGTGTGAATATTTAAATAAGTAATTTGCTAGGTTTGAGGTTATCACGAGTTCACTTGATCTGCAAACGAGAACAAGACTCGGTGACCAAAAGCCAGTAAACTAGCTATTTGATGCGTCCTAGCCCCGCTAACTAGAGGTAGAAGTCCAAGCTTGAAATGGGGAAGTATATTCTGCAAAACAGCCAGAAACGATCGATAACAACAAACACAATTCAAAACGTATATATACAGTGCCAAACCGTCCTTGGTGAGAGTTACCAAATCGCATACTAAAAGACGCAAGGGACCAATAGCATTTAAGATACTTCCCAGTGGGAAAGACGACATGAAGGTGACAAGAGCACCCTTGGCACGAAAACAAAAAAATTCAAACTTTCTGAATAAAATTACAAAATTAGGTCGTTTCCTAAGTGAGTTCTGGGAATCTAACGTCCCCAACATAATCCATCTTGAATAAATTGTTAGGTCTTCCTTTTTATGAAGCGCGATAGGGTTTAGCGATATATATATTGTTTATCTATTCTCTAGAGAAACGGCTTACACGAAACATTAGAAATCTAACTATCTACATATTGAATAACACTAAAAAACTAGAAGGCGTTTCGACAGCTCTTTCGTTCTTGTATAAGACTCTTCAAGAGTGCTTACCTACGACCTACAGTAATTTATACATAGTACTTTCAACTTTCCTATTAGACATTTAAACATTAGAGATACTGATCAAAGTCTGAACGGGCAAGTTCGACTCCAAATAAATTCTACTTTAATTCAACAATCGTACGACTCTATTGGTAATAAATATTTCCCTCTTAACAAGTCTGATACTCCATGTGGGATCAATCTTTGATGAATACAACCTACAAGTTGGATCAATTTGCATGAAACTTCCCTGATAGGATTATTTTTGGGAAGATTTTTACGATTCTTCAGGATTGAACTGTAGCATCCAGTAAATATTCGGTTATTTAAAAGCATTCAAATTTTATCAGAATGAGTTTGTGGAGATTTTAGAAACTTCACAGATTGAAATCATGAGTCAATTGAAGCTGGACCACCATGGAAAACCTGGAAGCACTGGACGGCCGTTTCCATGGTGGTCTAGTTTCAATTGACTCATGATTTCAATCTGTGAAATTTCTAAAATTTCCACAAAACCCCTTCTGATAATAATCATCTGCTCACTAGTGATTGAATTCAAGAGATACTCCTGCAGTTCTAGTGTGAAGACGTTGCCAGTGGAGTTCAACCAGGTCTGTTGTGAGATATCGGCTCACTGAAGACAATGGTATACAGTGGCGCAACTTCGTGGATTGGTCGAAGTTAGATATTAACACCGTCGAGTGCTGGCCGGCTCACTGGTCTAGTTAGTTAGGCGCCTGGCACGAGACTGATAAGTCCTGGGCTCGAATCTCGCGGGGTGCGGGATCGTGGATGCGCACTGCTGAGAAGTCGCACACTAGGATAGAATGGCCGTCCAGTGCTTCCAGATTCAAGTTTTAGATAGGTACCACTGTCAAAGTTGAACTTGATAGTTTTAAAGAAATTGAAGACTTAATAGAAAGTTACGTTTCGTGACGTAATGTAAGTTACTTCGTCAGAGTAAATAAATAACCCAAATAAAATTAATACAGTTCTAAATAGTAAAAAGGGAAACAATGTAGAATATTTTTACAGTTTATCGAAATAACCACATTTGACGCCATTTATTTTCCACACGATTTACACACACACACACTTTCAACCTCTACTACTCCATATTACAAATGTATGTATTTTTCATATCCACCTTCAAATGCATATATTAATACAATGATCTCATACAAAATCACCTTGATTAAAATTAGAATGACAGTGACATGTTCAGATCTATTATGATTTTAAATTCACATGATATTGTTTACTTAAATCTTCGCATTGATGTTTAGGACTGCAATTGTTCAGTCTGTTATTGGTATATGTGCATCCTACGTGGACTGCCTCGATATTGCCTTAATTCACAAGCATTATAAGCAAAGATGGATAGTGGTACAAGTGAGTGGCTATTAGTAATCAGTAGCTAAGTGAATAACATGATGGTGTTTGAAACGAGCTATACTAGATTCAAGTCCCAGAGTGAACATTAACTCTGGGATGCAGGTACATCCAGCTGACGAGTCCTGGATCTTAATGCTAACCATCGTTCATCTTTGCTTGTTATGATTTCGATTGCATTAAAAATATTCTTCATTGTTTCCGTTTGTGCTATTTTAACTTGTGTTAATTTCATTTGGGTTATTTACTTACTCTGAATAAGTGACGTACATTACGCCACGAATTGTCAAAAAAAGACGATTTTCTGTTCATTGGAATGTCACATAACTACATTTATTATTAAATCTTAAGTGTTCAGTTCTACAAACATATTAGAATAGTGAATAGATGGATTTATATTCTATTTGATCTTCAGAGATTTCAGTCGATAGACACTATTATTCAACTTCATATAGTACATGTTGTTAACCATTTACTCTATGAAACTTGATTGTATTATTAATGATTAATTATTTTACAAGGGATTTTGTGGAGATTGTAGTAATTTCAATAGTTGAGATCATGAATCAGTGAAGTTCAACTGGGTCTGTTGTGAAATAGTAACTCATTAAAGACAATGGTGAATGTGTCGCTCAATTTCGTGAATTAGTTGAAGTTAGATATTAACACCGTTGGATGCCGGCCGGCTCAGTGGTTTGAAGGTTAAACCTTCGCGCGTGAGAGTGACAGGTCCTGGGTTGGAATCTCGAGAGGCGTGGTCGTTGATGCACACTGCTGAGAAGTTCCACGCTATGACAGAATGGCTGTCTAGTGCTTCTATGTCTTCCATGGTGGTCTGGCTTCAAATGACTCATGATCTCAACTATTTAAATTAATTATTTGTCATTAATAATACTGAGTTAGTTATGTTATAGAACATAACTGACATGCTTTGAAACTATTTTCTTAATGAAAATTTGTCATTTATAATGATGATTTTGTGTTGTGTTTTCAAAGTTAAAAAATTCTTTTTCCAGAATTATTTAATGGTTGAATTCATGAGTCAATATAAGCTAGACTACCCTGGAAAACCTAGAAGCACTGGACAGCCGTTTCATCCTAGTTAGTCAGTTCTTCACTGGAGACAATGGTGGACGGTGGCGCAATATCGTGCATTAGTTGAAATTAGGCATTAACACCTTTGGATGCAGGTTCAGGGGTCTAGAGGTTAAGCGTTTGCTCACGAAACCAAAAATCCCAGGTTTGAGCTCCGCGTGTAGGATCGTTGATGCGCACTGCTGAGGAGTCTCATACTAAGGTGAAACGGCCATCTAGTTCTTCCAGATTTTTCATGATGATCTAGCTTAAATCGACTCATGAATTCAACGATTAATTTACTACAAATTCCACAAACCCTTATTTTGATTTCATAACAATATATCTCGACTATAAGTATAAAATATAATTTATAATAAACAGCTAAAATAAATCAGTTAATTTCTTACCTAGAACCAGCAAATATAACTTTCTCTGTATAAGCTGCATTTTGCCATGGTATATTATCAATAACAGCTGCCAGTATACGTGATCCATGAAAATAGAAATCTGTTCAGTACGATATAAGAATATAAGGAGAACATGACAAACTTATCAAATAAACACATAATTAGTGTTAAATGAAGTAGACAAGAATTAGTGAAATTTAACAGTTGAATTCATGAGTCAAACTAAGCTAGACCACCCTGGAGAACCTTTAGGCACTGGACGAACGTTTCATTCTAGTATGGGACTCCTCAGTAGTGCGCATTCACGATCCCGCTCACGGTATTCGAACCCAGGACCAATTAGTCTCGCGCGTGAACGGTTAACTTACTGGACCTTTGCGCCGGCATCCAATCCCGAGAGTGGGATCGTGGATGCGCACTGTTGAGGAGTCTCACAATAAGACGAAACAGCTGTCCAGTGCTTCCAGGTTTCCAATGGTGGTCTAACATCAATTGCTTCATCATCTCAATCTAGAACGAATATGTTTAGTATAGAAGAGTTATTAAGAGAATTGTTATAGGCTCATCTGTTTTAAGTAAACATTGTAGTAAATTACAACTATATCATTTTCATTTTAGTAAACATTCAGTCATATCACATTTGATTATATACTTTCAGTTTGGTTTAAATAAGACAGTTGGGTGATTAGCATACAAAAAAAAGAAAGAAAATTAACTTTTATTCAATTAGTGTTGTTTATTTCAATCTTCCCATTGTGATTTAGGACTGCAATTGATCAGTCTCTTGTTGGAATATGTGCATCTTGTGCGGAATGCCTCTATATTCCCTGAAGTCACAAGCTTTATAATTAACGAATGCTTTAAAGGGGGGACGAGTGTGGTGAGTGCTACTTATATTGATATAAGCAGTCTATAACGCGATGTAAAGAACGTAATGTCTGGCAGCAGAAGATGGGGGAAGATCAAGAAAGGAAGAGATGGAACGCAATGCAATTTGTAAGAAAACGCATAAACAATCAAACGTGAGACAGTGGATTGATGTTTGCAACGGCAACAGTCCGGTTTGATGTGATGGAGTGATATTTTGCAAATTAACGATTTACTATTTGGTTTTTCTATTTTACCAAGTAACTTCGGTTGTCCCCAACCGTGTTCTGTTCACTACAGTATAACCTTTGAACATAAGAATCATTGAAGAAACCTCATAAACTTTAAGCCCAATGATAAGCTACAATAGGTTTTTAAATATCTTAAGATTGGAAATAACAAAAGTAACGTTCGGTTATGTAATACAGTAAGTAGGTTTTGTAATAACCCATCTAATCATTGTTAATGGTTTTTATTACAGACTGACATAAGTCCAGATACCACTGAAGATCATGAAAGATCACAATGAATGTCAATTACTCCTTCGTACTAGTCTCTTTATTAGTGTACTATTAGTTTTTGAATGCTATTACAAACAATGTAGATAATTTGTAATATCATAGCAATTGTTTGAATCCCTAGATCCTTGTCAACAACAAAATTATTGTTTTTTCTAGACACAAATAAGAGAATATAAAAACCAAATCTCCTACCTCCACTACGATTAGCCATTTTCCCAGTCCATAAATCACTTGAACAATATGGAATGAAACTAGACAACAATAAAAAATGAAAGAAAAATAAAAGTATTATTCACATTTTCTTATATTCGTAATTGGAGAATAATGGTCAGCGGCCTATGCTCCATCGGGAGTAACAGGCGTAAGTATGCCTGAATGCTATTACGAGTTCACCTTACTCGGTAAACGGAACGAAAGTCAATGATACAGTGACACGATAAGCTACTCTAATCCGTTGTCCCCGGCTCTGCTAACTAGATCAAGAAATCTTGATGAGGCGTAGAGAATGTATTCTACAAGCACCCAGAAAATACGAGGTCACTAAGCACATAAATCAAGCTTATTTATACAATGATAGAAACGCCCATGGGAGAGCCACAAAATAGCGTACTACAAAAAATCCGTCAACCAATGACAGTCAAGGATTTAGATGGTGGTTGGAGGTAGTCAACAGGAAACCCTGGACCCGGGTTTCGTGCTACTTGGCACTCGTCAGCAAGGTGTACCTGTAATCTTGAGGGAACTGATGCTCCCTGGCGGATCACCACCCAGTGATCAATCGATTGTGATTACATCTCAGTCCTACAGGAGGTTAGTCACGGCTCGGATAGCTCAGTGGTAACGTCTCTGATTGTGAAGCTGGGTGACACGAGATCGAATCCGCCAGGGAGCATCAGTTCCCTCAAGATTACAGGTACACCTTGCTGACGAGTGCCAAGTAGCACGAAACCCGGATCCAGGGTTTCCTGTTGACTACCTCCAACCACCATCTAAATCTCAATACATAGTGCCCGCAGTGTCGAGTCACCTAGACTGTTGGCCACATTGCAACATGATCGATAGCATTCGATCTGCACTAATAAGGACTAGACAAGCATGACATTGATCACCACCCAGTGATCAATCAATTGTGACAGTCAAGGATTCCTAAGTGGGAAATGTAGGCTGTAAGTCAACTAAGCGTCTCTTGGCGGGAAAACATGAAAATAAGTAATTAGGTAAGTATATTCAAAATTAAAACGATGTGAATAAAGGAGATGAATCATTAAATTGATTTCAACTTACACACTATGAAATTCATGATAAATTGGATTTGCATTTGGATCAGATGAAAGTATTCCACCAACTGAAATGTAAATTATCCGACAGAAAAAAAAACAGACATATAGATGATTCTAATCATAATAATGATAATAATAGTTGCCTCCGATTTATATATATATTTAAGTAGTTTTAACGATGATAAGTTGATCAGCATGGGGTCGTGGAAATTATTACTATTATGTTTTTGATTGAGATTATGAACTGATTGATGTTAGACCACTGTTGAAAAGTTGAAAGCACTGGAAGATTTCGTGGATTAGTTGAGGTTAGACATTAACACCGTTAGACGCCGGTCGGCTTAGTGGTATAGAGATTAAGCGTTCGCACGCGAGACCGAAGGTCCTAGGTTCGAGTCCTGCGAGTGGGATTGTGGATGTGCACTAATGAGGAGTCCCATTCTAGAACGAAACGTCCATCCAATGCTTCCAAGTTTTCAGTGGTAATCTAACATCAATCGGTTGATAATATCAGTCAAAAAGAAGATAAGTTTAAGTTGTACATAGACTATGTTATCAGTTGAGAAATCTTTGAATATCATTCATTGCAAACAAAATTATTGTCCCATAATATATTGACAAAAACTGTGATGGATTGTTGAAGGTCATTGGTTAGATGTCCTGATGAAGCTACGAATATGCCCTACTGTAAAGGATAATAGTATAATGATAAAGTTATTCAATGCTCCTTGATTTGGAATCATTCATTAACTAGTATTATTAAGTAATATAAACTTAGTGCCGTTGAATTACGGTCATAATGTAATACGTAAAAAATATAGCCAATAGATTGAGTGAGATAAAACGAATACAGATCCATCATCCTAATTAGTTTTCGAATATTTTAACAAAAATATACCAGTATCTGCCAAGTTACTTGTATATATCATGATATAGATATTAGAAGGATTAAAGGTGAGACTATAATTTATGGATAACATTTGAGTAACACTAAAAAGATCTTGGAGATGTTCACCTACATACAACGGCTAAATGAGGATTATGAAACAGTGTGAAGAATAAAGATTATGATTTACAGTTGATGGTGATAAGTCTTGCGAATTGAATGATATATTTGTTTCCTAAGCTATTCTAGTAACCCCTAAGCTAGAACTATACAACGACCTGAACACAAGAGAGAAGACACAAAGTATGCGAGAAATACTTTACTCCAAGGTTCATTTTTGTACAGAAAACGTGGGTATTTATAGATGTTAACATTTTATTAAATCAACATCATATTTCGGCCAATCCGTTAGCGACATATTATGCTACTGACCATTAGTAACACGCCACGCTGACATTTGATTGACTAGGACTCTTCGGCTCCCCTAGGGGCTCTGGAGGCTCCGTTGCAGTTCTCAGAAAGCCGACTCAACAGATGGTAAGGGTTAGGATTTAGATTTATGTTCTTCATTACAAACTGATATCAGCTAAAATGCCAAAACGTTATTTAGACATATAAATAAATGAATTTCGAGCCCAAATCCAAGACCTGTCATTTTAAATCTGATTGGTTTGTTCATAAATTATAGTCTCACCGGTTAGAGTTAAATCTCCATATCCAAGATGGCATAATTATCGATTTTGCGTTGTTCTAATAACCTATTTCGTAATACTTTTTTGAAGACTTCTTTATTCTTTGCTTCTCTTCCGAGATTTACTTAGTTAATAAACTTTTTAGATGAATATAACATATGATCATAACATTAATTCCTCATTTTCAAAACTTCCATCTGTATATACTTCTTACAGTTACTGTGCAGTGAAAAGAACACGGGTTGGGCCAATCTAATGTATTTAACACAAAACTACAGGATTTGTTAATCAAATCTAACAATCATAAAGTAAATGCTCAGTTTGCAAAATGTCCATCGATTGTCTTATAATGACTTAGACTTCATTGTTCTTGCATTTTCATACAAATTGCATTCTGTTTCTATTTTTTACCGTTCGATCCTCTTGTCTGTCTGCTGCTAGACCTTCTTTTTACGACTAACATCATCTAATATTTATGTCAATATAAGTAGCACACACCACAACTGTTGTAGTGTGTACTACTAATGTCAATCGATATAAATAGTATATATGATCAATCGAAAGTGAAATGCCTAACGCGGTAAAGAATTAAAAAGGTCGAAAAAGACAAAAAAACACAATGAGAACAAAAAATAATTGATGTAAAATTGAAAGATCAATGAAATCTGAGACAATTAATTAACACTTTACAAATGAAGTTTTTTTTCCTATACGATTCTTAAATTTTACTAAGATGTTCTGTCCAAAGATGGTCTAAGATCAATCGGTTCATGATCTCAATCAAAAACTTCATAATCTCTACAAGCCTTATACTAGTAGTCAACATGTGCTCACTAATGACTAGCTTCTTGAGGGAATTCTCAGAGTTTTAGTGAGAAGCCGTGACCAGTGGAGCTAATACATGTCGGGTAGAGACAGTTATCTACCTCAGTACAATGGAAGATGGTCGCTCAATTTCATGGATTGGTTGATGTTAGACACTAACACCATTGGATGCCGGCTATTCGAGTGGTCAAGAGGTTAAGCGTTCGCGTGCGAGCCTGAAGGTCCTGGGTTTGAATCCCGTGTGTGGGATCGTGGACGCGCGTTGCTGAGGAGTCCCACAATAAGACGAAACGGCTGTCCAGTGCTTCCAGGTTTCCAACGGTAGTATAACATCAATCAATTCATGATCTCAATCAAATACATTTGGTTGTCCCCATTTGTGTTCTTGTTCACTATCATGTTTTTTCATTGATCTATATGAACAATATTGAATTCAATATTAGAAAATACATTACTAATAGTAATATATACATATACTTGTTATATGTTTTAAGTTATAAGCAAGCTGAAAGTGAATTCATCAAAACGTCAATTACAAACTTCGAAACTTACATGAACGAGTTTTTGGCCAAAATTTTGATGAGAATAATGAAAATGCATTAGATTCACGTAAAATACATGTTTCTTCATCAAAACAATACCAACCACCTAGAAACATAATTAAATTAGATATTATTATATTTGTTAGCGGGATATAGATTGGATTAAATCATGCTCAATGCACGCTTGAGTTGGCACACTCTGATTGGATAAGAATTAGCCAATCAGCGTTAGTCAACACTTAGTGAACACTCTAGAAATCTTCTCATATGAGAAACTATAAATATACTGACGTTTTCCCTATTGCACTTGCTTGCTTCTTGCTTCTATCTAACCTTGTTATTTGGGATATAATCTCTTTTCCTGTATAACCGTGTTCCGATTTGGGGGACTTGTCGAGTGAATCGATGTCTGAGAATACTAAGCAATAGGAATAACTGGGTTGTAATAAATGAGAGAATTATAACAATATTATAAAAACTAAAATAGTTTTACTTACCTTCAAGAAATATTAACCATCTACTTACTGTTGTATATTTTGCTGGACGATAATAATAACTGAAATATAAAAAAAATAAAAGAATTGATATTCATTCTGATAATAATCAACTGCTCACTAGTGACTGACTTCAGGAAAAACTCCTGGAGTTCTAATGAGAAGCCGTTACCAGTGGAGTTCAACCAGGTCTGTTGTGAGATAGTAACTCACTGAAGACAATGGTGTACGGTGGCGCACCTTCGTGGATTGGTTGAAGTTAGACATTAACACCGTTGGGTACCGGCTCAGTGATCTAGTGGTTAAGTGCTCGCGCACGAAGCTAGTAGGTCCTGGTTTCGAGCCCCGCGTGTGCGGGATCGTGGGTACGCACTGCTCACGAGTCCCATACTAGGACGAAACGGCCGTCCAGTGTTCCCAGGTTTTCCATCGTGGTCTAGCTTCAATCGACTCATGATTTCAACCTGTGAAATAAATAAGATTTTTAAAAATGATCTAACTGAGATCATGAGTCAATTGACGATATATCATCATGGAAAACCTGGAAGCAATAGACGGTCGTTTCGTCCTAGTGTGGAACTCTTTAGCAATGTACATCCATAATCTCGCCTCTCGATGGATTTCAACCCAGGACTTATTGGGTTCAAGAGCTATTTCCTGGAGTTCTAGTGAAAAGCAATGACTAGTAGAGTTCAATCGGATCTGTCGTGAGATAGTTAGTCATTGAAGACAATGGTGCACGTGTTGCTGAATTTTTTAGATTTGTTGAAGTTAGACATACACACCGTTGGATCTCGGCCGGCCCAGTGGTCTAGAGTTTAAGCGGTCACGCGCGAGACTGATAGGTCCTGGGTTAGAATCTCGCGAGGTGAGATCGTGAATGCGCACTGCTGGGGAGTCCCCTAATTGAACGAAACGGCCGTGAAGTGCTTCCATGTTTTCCATGGTGGTCTATCTTCAATGGACTGATGATCTCAACTATTAAAATTTGTGTGTTTGATTGAGAATCTGTCTGATATTGATAAACATTGACCAAATCTAAGCTCTGAGGTAAGCCCTTATTTGGAATCGTGAAGGGAAACGGAAAAGGGGAAAGTTAAAGAACACACTACTTTGGGAATTGGAAGCAAACATGAAAAGCATGAATAACAACTGGAAAGGATTGTCCAGGACAGGGTTGGATGGAGAATGATGGTGGGTGGTCTATGCTCCTCGACGTAGAGTAACAGACGTAAGTAAGTAAGTACCGGGATATTATAGTATATTGTACGGCATGTTCAATTATTTGAATGTTTCTTCATCTCTTAACCCAAGCAATAAACAGTTGACAATAAACTTTATTTGGAACTTTGGGAACTATTTACTGTGATATGAAGTATTCGAACTTCATTCACACAATCTGCTGTCATTTATTTCTATAACTAAACTGTTATAAAATGTTTTAAATCGGTTCTTATAGTTTAAGGAACGATCTGATTATTGGATCAACCGTATAAAATGAGTAATATTTTAAGTCATATAGCGTTACTTTTAATATTCTAGCCTTCTATGTAATCATATTATATAATATGTATATCAATACATTATATGAATTACCAGCAGTTATACATTGACGAACAAGGTGGATCTGATGCTGATGTGAAAGCGCGGATCGGTAAATCAATAGAAGCATATTTACAATCGGAGAACATGTGGAACTCAAAACAACTGCCAACCAACACCAAGGTCAGGATTTTCAATACAAATGTCAAGACAGTTCTACTGTATGGGGTGGAAACCTGGAGAACTACGAAAGCCATCATCCAGAAGATACAGGTGTTTATTAACAGTTGTCTACGCAAAATACTTCGGATTCGTTGGCTGGACACTATTAGCAAAAACCAACTGTGGGAAAGAACAAACCAGATCCCAGCAGAGGAAGAAATTAGGAAGAAGCGCTGGAAGTGGATAGGACACACATTGAGGAAAGCACCCAACTGCGTCACAAGACAAGCCCTCACATGGAATCCTCAAGGCCAAAGGAAACGAGGGAGACCAAAGGACACATTATGTACACTTCTTATCCCATTCTTAACATGTCTATAACTTATTTTTGTATGACTACAAACATGGATTAACACTTGATTAAATCGAGTTGACCCATACGCCTTCTTCGCTGAATGTCATTTCATTTCACTCCTATCTTTCCTATTCACTTCCCTCGCTCCATCTCCCCAATTGTCTATTTAAATTAATGAGTGTACAAAATATACATATCCAAAACTTTATTCTCGTATTTGACTTATTTAATTGCGTTATTCAATAATGAGATTTAAGTAGATAATTATATACGAAGATTGACTATGTGTCATCTTCGATAATAATCATTTACCTTTCTTTTGTTGAAATCATGAGTCAATTTAAGCTAGACCACCATGAAAACATGGAAGCACTGGACGGCCGTTTCACCCTAGTATGAGACTCATCAGCAGTGCGCATTCACGGTCCCGCACTCCACGGGATTCGAACTCAGGACCTATCAGTCTTGCGCCAGGCGCTTAACCGACTAGACCATTGGGCCGGCATTCAACGGTATTAATGTCAGCAGTGGGCACCCACGATTCCGCGTCGTGAGATTCCAACCCAGGACCTATCTGTCTCACAAGCGAACACTTAACCTGTAGATCACTGAACCGGCCGAGATCCAACAGTGTTAATATCTAACTTCATAATGAATCAACAAAGAATATTCTTTTTTGATAACACAAAATAATCGTTTTCATTGAAGTCAACAAGAACTTTACTGATTGAATCTATTTTTTCTTGATGATGAATTTTTGATAATTCTACATTATGACATTAGCTTTCATCATAGACATAGAACTAGAAGGTATTCAACAGTGAATTCATTGAAAAAGAACATTTAAATCGTTTACATTCTGTTTCTCATGTTGTAAAGATATCATATTGACTATGACATATAAAGGCATTGAGTCTAATTATGTATGAAATTATTGATGCGCATTGTTAAGTAATTCTGCAATTAGGCCTTACAGCTTCCTTGCAATTCAGATTACGTAAGTTCTCAATGAGAACTAACAAATTTTTTTCATTTTATAAGATTTATTTAACCCTGTGAAATATATGTTTCTTTATAATTCATATCTGATCAACATTGTGAGTAATCTGATAGCTTTATCCTTCAAATGCCCTGGTACGGCCGAGAGTAAGGAGAGTTTATTCTCCCTCTCGAAATGCTCTAACATGGCCACGCGTATATAGCCTCTGCCAGGGAAGTCCTACTCACTACCTTCTCGTGGCGGGGGTGTTGTTTACGCAATTGAGAGGACGAAAACTGAATGTCCGGCGCTTTAACCGGATCGGTGGACATGGAGAGTCCACCTAGGGGAGTTGGAAAACCCTCATTCCAAACCAATGGTGCACATGGGCTCCAGTATCCTGAAGGAATAAACGGAGTATGAACTAATCGTTGGTCATAGTAGTATACCACGTTGATATTCCAGAAAGTTCTATCAGGTTCTGATTAGATGGAAACTTTTCGGCTCCTTTAAGGCCTCTGGAGGCTAGTTCGTGTTTCGTGAAAGCTGGCCTAATAGTTACATATTACATTTTTGGTAACTAAATGACTAGTTTAGTTGAAACTAAATTTCTAAATCCTTCAGTAAATTCCATTTATATTATCACTCTTATCTTATGAACTTAATACACAGTTAAAAGCTAGAAACTCAAACACTGAATAACTATATTAACTTAAAGCATAATATCACTTCAGAATTCCACTTCTTATTTATTCAAAGTAATTGATAATGGATGATGTTGTTCTCAACATTTAGTGGTTAAGTACTGGATATTAGTCGGTAATTTCCGCCGAATATTTCATCTGCAGACTCTGGAAGTATCAATAAATGTCTGATATAAACACGTCAATGCAATACAACTCAACATACCGGTTGATTAATACTTACTTACTTACTTACTAAATCCGCTTGGAGCCCTTCTGGGGTTACTGTCGGTCCCAAGTCCGGATAAAGGAGAAAGGTTGGGCATGGGGTTACCGACCACAACCTGTAGAAAACTAACTGGCTAAAAAAAGCTAACCAGAAAAAAATAATTCGAACCATTTAAACTCTTCCCTGGGAGTTAGGTCTTCATTTAGAAGAATTATGACTCCTCATAGTGAAAGCCGAGTTCCTTCGGAAGTCACGAGACCGATGCCCCTTCTGACAACCAGAGCAACCATTTATTTAGGTACATGAAGTTCTCGTGCAATGTGGGAGACCGGAAGAGTTATCCGAATCGGTGCAGAAATGAAAAGATACAACATAGAGGTGCTTGAAATCACTGAAACACATGGGATTCACGTTGGACAACAAACACCAGCTACATGGGAGCTGATACTATACTCCGCCCATGAAGAAGAAAATGCTCCACATACACAAGTAGTTACACTGATGGATGAATGATAAATAGATAATAAATGTCAAGGTTTAAAATGACCAGATCGTTACTGTAAATTACACCTTGATAAATATTATTAATCAACTTAATAGACAAGAAAACTACTTAAGTTATTCAATGAAACTTACATAAGAAACATTGAAATAACCCCAATCGGATAATTCTAATCATTTAAACATAAGATGTGTCACTCAATTTCGTGCATTAGTTGAAGTTAGACATTAACATCGTTGGATCTCGGCCGGCTAAGTGATCTAATAGTTAAGCGCTCGAGCGCTAGACTGATAGGTCCTAGGTTCAAATCTCTCAAGACGGGATCGTGGAGTCCCATAATAGGACGAATTAGCCGTCCAGTGCTTTCAGGATTTTTATAGTGGTCTATTTTCAATTGACTGATCATCTCAATTATTGAAATTACTATAGTATTCACAAAACCATTTCTCATAATAATTATCGTATACTCACTAGTGACTCACTTCAAGGGGTATTTCCTGGAGTCCTAGTGAGAAGCAGTGACCAGTGGAGTTCAACCAGGTTTGTTTTGAGATAGTAAGTCATTAAAAACAATGGTGGACGTGTTGCTCAATTTCGTGGATCAGTTGAAGTTAGATATTAACATCGTTGTATGTCGGCCGGCTCAGTGATCTAATAGTTAAGCGGTCGCGCACTAGACCGATAGGTCCTGGGTTCAAATCTCGCGAAATGGAATTGTGGGTGCGCACTCCTGAAGAGTCCCATGATTGGACAAAACTTCCGTCCAGTGCTTTGAGGCTTTCTTTGGTAGTCTAGCTTTAATTGGCTCATGATTTTGACTATTGAAATTACTATAATATCTACAATAACCCCTTCTGATATAAGATACAAAGTAAAATCTCAAAAAATAAATCAATAAATAAACAAACATACCCCGCTGATGAACCATCATTACATTTAGCTCCATTATTATTTAAAAGATATAATTGATGGGATTGATATTGTAATCTTATATTATTCCATTCATTATGTTTATGATCATTATTGAATTGATTCAATTGATTTTCGATTGGTTTCTTAAGTGGTTCCCATGGTTCAATCATATTCCAACTATCATTATTATGATTATTATTCTTATTCTTATTATTATTATTAGTATTGTGTTCCGTTGTATATATAAATGATTTATAATATGATGGTTTAGCTTTTACATTATCTAACCATGTTATAATAATAATAATGATTATGATAATATAATAAAGTGTTGTATATTGTCGTAATGAAAATGGTATTTCTATGGATATTGAATTATGGATATGAATGAGTTGTTTATTGGAATACGTTTCAGATAATAAAGAATGTTTATTTGATATTGGTAAATAATCTAATAAGATTTAAACAAAAGAAAGATTACAAAAATAAACAATAAATCCAATTAGATAGATATATTGATAGTTGAGATGATGAGTTAATTGAAGATCGACCACCATAGAAAGCTTCAGAGCACTGGACGAACACTTTTTCCAACTGTTGGACTCTTCAGGAGTGCGTACCCATGATTCGACCTCATGAGATTTGAACCCAGGACCTATCAGTCTAGCGCGTGAGCGCTTAACTATTAGATCACTGAGCAGGCCGTGATATAACGATGTTAATGTCTAACATCAACTAATCCATGAAATTGCGTCACCATCCACTATTGTCTGAAATGACCTACTAACTCACAACAGAACCGGTTCAACTCCACTGATCACGGCTGCTCACTAGAACTTCAGGAGATACCTCTTGAGGCCAGTCACTAGTGAGCATATGTTGATTAATATCAGAAGGAGTTTTTGTGAATATTATAGTGATTTCAATAGTTGAGATGATCAGTCAATTGAAGGAAGACCAGTATGAAAAGTTTAGAACTATTATATAGTCGTTTTGTTCTATTGTGGAACTCTTAAACAGTACGCTTCTACAATCTCACCTCATGAGATTTGAACCGTAGGCACTCGCATATCAGAGGAGTTACTAATACATAAAGAACATGTTTTTATTATGGGAATTAAGTTCATTTACATTGTGGTGTAATTTGTGTTATATTTGAAGTTGAAACAAAATGGCTCAGAGCGTTCTACTTAATCTTTGTCTGTGTTGACATTTGAAATCTTAAAGAAATCGGTGTACCTTATGAATTTCGAAACAGATATACACAATTTCTAGTATAGGGGTTGTGGAGATTATTAAGTTTTTGATTGAGATCACGAACCGATTGGTGTTAGACCACCGTTGGAAACCTGGAAGCACTGGACGGCCGTTTCGTCCTATTGTGGGAGTCCTCAGCAGTGTGCATACACGATCCCGCTCGCGGGATTCGAACCCAGGACTTTCGGTCTCGCTCGCGAACGCTTAACCTACTGGACCACTTAGCCGGCATCCAATGGTGATAGTGTCTAACATCAGCCAATCCATGAAATTGCGCGACCATCTTCCATTGTACTGAAGTAGATACCTGTCTTTACCCGACATGGATTAGCTCCACTGGTTACGGCTTCTCACTAGAACTTCGAGAATTCACTGTCATGAAATTCAGCTATAAATCAATAATGTTAAAATTAAACTCCTGAAAGACTATGATTGATTTCTATTGGTGAAAAATCATTACTAATAATAATCAAAATGATTACAAATGGTAATCAAATTCATTCGAGTATCAGCTCTTTGCGAAACCTGAGGGTCATGCTTGAGATCTTCAATTGTATCATGTATGCAAACTAGTGAAGAGGCTCATATTAGGATGAAACATATATCTAGTAAACTCTGGTTTTTGATGGTTGTTTAATTAAGGTTCGTATGTAATACACACTATAAAATTACACATCTTATTTATACAGTATGACTATATGATATTGAAAGTTTTACCATTCACCGCTTCTAATGAAACACTATGTGACGGTTTTGAATTGGACTTTGTTTAGAACTTAAAAGTCTCATGAAAAGTATATGTTGAATCTCTAGCTATCTATAATTATTAGAGTGAAACATTGTTAGTAGATTTAATGAAAGGAATTATTTGATGTAAACAAAATAATGTATATCTTTATTTCTTGATATTTTGTATACTACTGAGTTTATATTACTTTCAAATGATTGAGTAGTATATTTCAATACAGACAATAAGCCTTAACTGTAAGCATGAGAATTTATGGACATTGTAGTATTTTCACCGTTGATGAGTCCTAAATAGGACGAAATGTGCACATTGGATCCCACTGTTAACCACCACTCATCTTTTCTTATAATAAGTTTGACTTAAGGCAATCCTCACAGAGAGTACTTATGCCAATAAGAGACGGATCAATTGCAGTCCTAAACATCGATGGGAAAATTCAAAGAAAAATGATCTAAAACAGTAAACAAAATATCACAGTATTTCCAAATTTGTATTATAAACCATTCGACCATTGCAATCAACCAAAGGAAGGTGTTAAAAAGCTTCGTTTTACAAATTTCCTAATATTCATCAATCGGTTTCAAGTTTGGGTCATACAGTAAGATGAATCAACTACTGTAATTAACAAACTGTAAGTGATTCCTTACAAATGGCCTATAAATTAACCTGTTACACAAGAAAAGTAATGGCTATTCAGATTCCCCACTTTTTTCAAAGTCATGTAAACATATATATTCAAAGATAAATGAATTCAAAGGTATCAATTTTCGTATGTATGTATTCATCCATTATTTTGCTTTATAAGTATCGATACAAAGATTGGAGTTGATAGTTTAAAGTAAGCTTAGCATTGGATAAAATGTTATTCACAAACATATTTTTTATCAGAAGGGAGGTTTATGGAGATTTTAGTAATTTAATAGTTGAATCCATGAGTCAACTGAAGCTAGACCACTATGGAAAACCTGGAAGTACTGGACGGCTGGTTCGTTCTGGTATCGGACGCCTCAGCAGTACTCATTCAGGTCTGTTATAAGATAGTAACTCATTGAAGACAATGGTGGACGATGGCACAATTTTGTGGGTTGTTTGAAGTTGTACATTAACGCCGTCCGATGCCGGCTCAATAATCTAAAGGTTAGGCGTTCACTCGCGAAACCGAAGGTGCTGGGTTCAAATCCCGTTCGTGAAATTCAATAGTACAAAATTACTTGTGTTAATATACTTCGGTTACGTATTAAATCTGAAGAAGTAACTTACATGTAGTTGCGGAACGTAAGAAATGCAAATTTTTCTACGTATCGGAATATATTTAATAGTTGAATTCATGAGTTAAATAAATCTAGTCCACCATGGAAAACCTGAAAGCACTGGATAGCTATTTTATCCTAATATGGGACTTCTCAGCAGTGCGCATCCACTATCCCGCTCACAGGATCCGAACCCAGAATCTTCGGTCTCATGTGCGAACGCTTAGCATCTGAACCAATACGTCGACATCCGATGATGTTAATGTCTAACTTCAATCAATCCATGAAATTGTACTACTACCCACCATTGTCTTCAATGAGTTACTATCTCATAACAGACCTGGATACACACTGCTGTGGCATCCGATACTAGGATGAAACGACCGTTTAGTGCCTCTCTAAAACACCCCCCCCTTTCTGAAAATAATCCTTATTATTTATTATTACAATATTATTACTAATAATTCCAATTAATTAATTCGTTAATTCATTCATTAAATGTTTAGATTTTTCTCTTTTTTTTGTTGAAAAAAACAAACAAACAAACGAAAGAAAAAACTGTGTTCATCTAACTCACATGGATACACATACACTAAAGTTTATTTCAAAGGTCAAGTTTTTTTTTTTAAAAAAAATCCTTTTTATGTACCTGTACAAGCGTGTAAACCTAGGCCCAGATACACAAACGTACACACACACACATATATATATGCACACACATACACACACACAAGTACACATACATCAAACTATGCATCCATTAAAGATATTTTTTTCTCATTAACAAAACGTTTAATTGACTTAGATCAAAGAAAGTAATTTAAAAGGTATACAATTTACAATTTTTTTTACTATTAGAAGATGAATTTAATTGATGATAAACAAAATGGTATAAACGTTAAGAAATGAGGGGAAAAAAAGGAGTAGTGAAGGGAAACAAAACAACAATAAAAAAAAAGATTAAATCAATAATCTGTTTTTGTAACTTATGTTCTTTTCTTTTCAAATAAATTGTAAATAGACCACTGAACCGGCCGGTATCCAACGGTGTTAACGATGTGTAACTTCAACCAATCTACTAAGTTGCGCTACCGTATACCATTGTCTTTAGTGAGTTGATATCTCACAACAGACCTAGTTGAACTTCATTAGTAACGGCTTCTTACTAGAACTCCTGGAGTATCTCTTGAAGTGAGTCACTAGAGAGCAGATGATTATTGTCAGAAAAGGTTTTGTGGATCTCGCGTTGCGCGGGGTCGTTGATGCGCACTGCTGAGGAGTTCCATACTAAGACGAAACGGCCGTCCAGTGCTTCCAGGTTTTCCATGGTGAAATTTCTAAAATCTCCACAAAAGCCCTACCGAAAATTGTAAATAGTCTTAATTACAAGAATTTTATAACATATATCAAGAAATAGTAGCTAAGTGGATAATGTGATGATGTTTGAAGTGAACGGTACTGGGTTCGAACCCTATAATGAACATCAATTTTGAGATGGAGATATATCCAGATGACGAGTTCTAAATAGGAAGAACCACGTGTCAAATTGGATTCTACTACTAGCCACTATTTATCTTTGTTTAGAAAGTTTATGACTTAAAGTAATATCGAGGCAGTCCACATAGGATGTACATATGCTAACAGGAGACTGATCAATTACAGTCGTAACACAACAATTGAAAAATACAAGTAAACAACATCAAGTGAATTTACAAATAAGTTTCGAAGATTTTTGGTGCTGTATATCTGATTCCAGTCGGATTGTTTGTGATTATTATCAAATAATTGCTGTTGAAATATACATCCTGATTAGTTTCGTATAGAATTATCGACTTAAATCGTGTTGATGAATAATACGATTCAATAAGTCAAATAAGAGAATGAAAGTTTGAATACAATATATTTTGTACACTCATTAATCTGGACAGACAATCAGGTTAGATGGTGATTGGAGGTAGTCGACAGGAAACCCTGGACCCAGGTTTCGTGCTACTTGGCACTCGTCAGTAAGGTATACCTGTAATCTTGTGAGAACTGGTGCTCCCTGGTGGATTCGATCTCGTGTCACCCAGCTTCACAGTCAGAGACGTTACCATTGGGCTAGCATTTGATCTGCACTAATAATGACTAGACAGGCATGACAATGATCGCCACCCAATGATCAATCAATTGTTAGACAATCAGGTTGATGAAGCGAAAGAAGTGAAGAAAAGAGGTCGAAGTGAAATGACAATCACTGGAGAAAGCGTGTGAGTCAACTCGATTTAGTCAAACGTGGATCGATATTTATAGTCATACAAAAAATAAGTTACAGACATGTTATGGATAGGATAATAAGTGTACACACACACACTTATATAAAAATAGTT